TCTTAATTAACGACATTTACTTCTGTGCCTTAGACCGTAGGACCTTTGAGATCTCTCAACCCCTCCCTGCTAGGCGGGCCTCCATAGACACATACCCCATAGGCACTCCGTGGAAGCTGAGTGCAGAATGAGGATTGGAAGATTGATCTGTAGTATGTGCAAAGGGGCCCCCAACGGGAAACCCTCAAGGAAAGAAGAACTTGTTAAGCGTTTGTTACTACGCTCCAGGGGGTTGGCTATGACTGTGTGTGTAGGGGTTTATAAAGGTGGGGAGATAAAAATGGAGACAGATACTTATTTCATGGGGCTGTTAATTTGGCTGAGAAGTGGGAAAGGGATGAAAGCAGTTCTAGACGCACAGAGTTCTTGGACGTTTTCAAGGGAGGGGAAAGGAGCACCAGCCGCCCTGCTTCGGAATCCTGGGGCGATTCAGACATTTCTCTTGGCCGGTCCCTGTCCCGAGCCCGGTACCCTTCCGGCAAGAGCACAACTCAAACGCGGCGCGGCGTTGGAAGGGGGGGCGGGGGAACCAATCGGCTGTGGCGGCTCCTGCGCCCCACGCGGCGCGCCGCGGATAAGCCGCGTTCTTTGGGTAGGTGGAACCCGCTGCCGGGAGCCGTCCTGGGAGAGCTCACCGGCTGCGGAAGCAGTGAAAGGGCCGTGCAAGCGCTCGGCGACCGTACCCCGCGGGGGTGGTGGGGGCGACAAGTGGCTCAGCAGTCACTGGAACCTCAGCAGAGGCACACCCTTCCGGAGGTGTGGGGTGGTGGAGAGGTGAAAGGCCTTGGGGGAGTTGGGGGTTAAGGATTCTTAAGAGAAGAAACCACTGGAGAAGTGAGCGAGCCGGAGTCCCGTCCCTATTCCAAACGCGGATTCCGGTGCCTAAAGTCAAGGTTGCCTCCTGACTACCCACGGGAGACTTGTTGAAGTGACAACTCGGCCGGACAAGGTCCGGCTGGCTGCGTTTCTTCTCCCCAACCCAGTTGTGGCCACCTCGAGCCCCGCCCGTCCACCCAGCCCCGGAGCCCTCAAGCCACCGACACCCCCAGCGCTGCCCAGTCCCCGCCAGGGCCCGGGGAAGGCCTCCACTCACCGAACTGGAGCAGCAGGCAGACCACTCCGAGGACCCCCGCGGCCCAGCCCCAGGCTATCCCGGCGATCATGGCGCGTCCGGCGGGCCTCTAGGGCCGGACTGCGCAGGGGAGTACTAGTAAGTTCTGGAGCAGCCTCCCGCGGTTCTTCCCCACCCCGGGGCCTGCCCCGCTCCCGGCGCCGCCCTGGCCCCGCCCCTCATGGGGCTCTGGCCGCTGCTGCTTCCTCTGCCGGCAAGTCCCCGGAGCCGTTCCGCCGCCTCCCGTCCGCTCTGCGGAGCTCTTCCTTCAAAGTGGCTTGCGTTTTTAAAACCAGGCTTATTTTCGTTCCTCCCGCTCCTCCAGCACTTTTCCTGGACGTTTGGGACGTGACGAAGGCAACTCCGTAACTGGGGGTGTCGGGGAGGAGGGAGGGGAAGCTGTGCCCCCCCCCCCGCCCGCAAAGCTGCGTCCCACTCGGCTTGACCCTACGGTGACAGGAGAACTCTGCCGAAGGACTGGGAGGCTCCGAAGCACTTCCTTCAGCGTTTTCCAGCAGCAGCAACATGCTAAACAAAAGGAAACGGGACATTGTGGGCAACTGCTAGAACGTGCGGGGTTACCTGGTGCAGCCGGTCCCGCCGGTCTCAGTCAAGTTCAGACCACGTTTTCCTTAAGCCTGCCACCCCCACCCCCAACCCTCTCTTTCCCCGGAGCTGGGACTTCTAGCCTTGGGTTTCTCCCTTCTCAGTTTCCTTTGTTTTCCTCTTCCTCCATCTCAGCTGTGGACTTTCCCTTAGGCTAAGGAGTCAGGTCTGGTCGCCCCCTCACTCTTCGGCCTCCTCCGAAACCTCCCGCCCCAGCTCCGAAAGGCACCTGGAACACTCCGTGCTGGTGGTTAGTCTTTTTTTTTTTTAAGGTAGATTATTATTTATTTGTTTGTTTGTTTGAGAGAGAGAGAGAACGAGCCGGGGGAGGGGCAGAGGGAAAAGCAGACTCCCCGCTGAGCAGGGAGCGGGACTTGGGGCTCCATCCCAGGCCCTGAGCCAAAGGCAGCGGCTTGACCGACCGCGCCACTGAGGCGCCCCCTAGTGGTTAGTCTTCTTGACGGGCTTGTCCTCCCTCAAATCTGACCCGACCAAATGACTCCCAGAACCAGCTCCTCACGTGGCTTCCCTGTCTGCCCCCTTTCAGAGGGAAGTACATGAACTGCCCCTGCCCAGCTGTGGGAGCTAAGGGAACTCTGAAACTCTTCAGGTGAACAGGACACCTTGCTGTCCTTATAAACATCAACGTTGTCAGTTGTGAAACCGAGTGGAAATGTGCTTTATTGTTGCTGTCATCTCCATCCTCCTCAAGTGAGGATCACAAGACCACTCAAGACAGTTGAACTGTACTGTAATAATTCATTAGTTCTTAAGTCAGGCATAAGGTCTTAAAAGGTATCTAGGGGCCCCTTGGGTGGCTCAGTCAAGCACCTGACTCTTGATCTCAGCTCAGGTCTTGATCTCAGGGTTGTGAGTTCAAGCACTGTGTTGGGCTCCACGCTGGGTGGGGAGCCTACTTAAAAAAAAAAATACCTTAAATCTTAAAAGGTATTTCTGTCAGTGAAATTTCTGGGACCAATGTCATGAACCGGGAAGCCTCTTACCTTAAAACCTTCCCTACCATTTGTAGATATTGAGAACATGAGGCAGGTGAAGTGTATAGCACAAAATGTGAGAAAATCAAGTTTCTGTTCTGTCCGGAGCTGGTGGGAACTCAGGCCAACTGAGAAAGGTAGGATGGGGTCAAACTTTTAGACACTGGAGAGCCTCTCAACGTTTTTGAACTGAGAAGTGATTTAACAGCAAACATCTGCTGAGCACTTACCAAGCCAGGCCTTGTGTTAAAGTGCATTACCCGAATTATTTTAATCTTCTTGCTCTCCCTATTTTCAAAGATGAGGAAACGGAGACTCAGAGAAGGTAAATGACTTGCCCAAGGACACACAGTAAGGGGCAGAACTGGGAGTCCAACTGAAGTTAAATCTAAAGTGCCACTCTTACCTTCTCATACAGGAACAGGATGCAACTTTTGGACAGGCGGCCATGCTATTGACTGGACTAGCCAGCAGGCACTGTCAACCCAGCATGGCTGGGGAAAGTTCTGCCCAGTCACGTGGGGCTGGGAAGTATGCCTCAGGTCATGGTCTCCAGCCTTTGGGTGAGGAATGATTTGTTAGGTCTTCTTTGGTTAGATGCTCCTCTGACCAAGACCAACGAGCAATGCCAGCTTCTTCAGTAAGAGAAATGCTGGGCTTCTGTCAAGCAATTTTTTTGAAATATTTACATCACACCCAACGTGGGGCTCGAACCCAAAACCCCAAGATTAAGAGTCACATGCCCTACTGGCTGAGCCAGCCAGGTACTCCCTTCTACCAAGCATTTTTAGAGGAGCTTCTGTGCATGGTCCAGCAGACTTTATGAGTCAAAAGTGGCTCGGAACAGTGGACCTGAGTTAGGCAATGGGCCAAAAAGGCTCTATTCGTATACTGAAGACTTGCCCCCAAAAGGAGAGTGGATGTATTTTTCATCCTGTGGCCAGTATTGAGGTCCAGTCTTACCTGCTTGTCACTGTAGATAAATCATGAACTAGAGGTAAGAAAGGAGGGCTCATCCAACCTGCTCACGTGGCCTGAGGTAGCTACTCTTCCTAGCATGTCTGTCTCTGGTACTCGGGCTCTAGTTCTTGCCAACCTTGGAACTACCCCCAGGAAGCTTAGAAATCCCAGGATGAGCTGAGCAAAACACTGCTCCCAATCTTGCATACATGGAAATTGTCCCTGCCTCTTGTGGAAATGTACATCCATTTCCCTTATATAAACACTGGGCAGATTTGCACCAAAGGTGTAGATGGGTAATCTTCTTCCACAATACTCCATTTCCCTTTTTAAAATGTTCCCTGGCAGGAGCACCTGGGTGGCTCAGATGGTTAAGCGTCTGCCTTCGGCTCAGGTCATGATCCCAGGGTTCTGGGATCGAGCCCCGCATCGGGCTCCCTGCTTGGAGGAGAGCCTGCTTCTCCCTCACCCTCCTACTGTTCCCCCAGCTTGTGCTCTCTTGTTCTGTCAAATAAATAAAATCTTAAAAAAAAAAAGACTTAAAAAAATGTTCCCTGGCAGAAAGCATTTGGGAGAAAAATTAGGCAAAAGTAGAACGTTAAGACATAACATGGAAGCATTCTGGGTACCCAAGGGATAAACAATCCCATTTCAACTCCTGGCCAGGCCAGCAGCTGCAAGAAGTTGATAAGGATGCAGCAGATGCGGCTGCAGAGCAGAGGAAAGCACAGATTAAAGCCTCTGAAAGGTTTGGATTTTTAAAGAGAAAAGGAAGCGCCTCCCTCTGCTTTTTACCCGCATATTTCTTTTGCATATTCTGTGCAATGTAAAGAATTACAGATCATGTATCACTGCTGTGGTTTTAATCATACTATCATTCTCATTTTGCAGAAGTGGCCAACTCCTCTGTACCACGCCAGCGTTCGAGGGACGCGGGGAACGTGGACTGGCGTGCTGTGCAGGAAGGCACCCTGAGCAGGAAGACACAGCTCCTGTGCGGTTCCTGTATCCTGGAAAATGCTTGCTGACAAGTCCAGGTCGGGACAACACTCCATCGTTTGGGAAAGGTGGTGTGGTCTTGCTGCGGAGGCCCTCTGTAGCCAAGGGGAAGGTTATTCCCCGTTCCTGCGCTCCTTCTCCATCAGTCTCCTCCCACCCCTTCCTGTCCCGTCCCCCTGAAAAGGAAAGCTGGTTAAGGAGCTCTGCCTTCTGAACCTGCCTATCGGGCCTCCAGGTGTGTGGTGTGTGCACAGATCTGGGAGCAGCATGGCCTTGACAGTCACGGTAGTTGTGTGCATTTACTATGAATCATCTTCAGCAGATGGCAGTAAAGCGTCTTGGGAAAGCCTTTATTGTTTTGTTTTGTTTTGTTTCCCCCATCATTTGTACAAAGGCACTCTTTCGGCTGGGGGCAGGGCGGGGTAATAAAGGCTGCAATTCTTGACCCTTGAGCCTAGCAGGCCAACGCAATGCCAGGGGCAGAACTCCACGCTCCCAGGGTGGTTTCACGGAGAGAGGCTGGTTAAGAGAAAGAAGGACAGTGGGCTCCAGTAACTGCAAACAGCCATATTTTCAACATAATTTACTACAGGTCTCTGAAGTGTATATAAAACATTTTAGTGCAACATTTTACAAATAGTTCTCCTTTAAAAAAAAAAACCAAAAACCAAAAAAAAAACAAACAAAAACAAACAAAAAAAAACAAACCAAAAACAGATCAACAGCTCTCTACATCATGCATGGGTAGTTTCCTTACCCTACCTGTTTTTTCAACAATAAACGCAGAGAAACCATTGTTTGAAAAGAATATGAAAACCTGCTACAGAGACACCCTGATGGAGGAGGGTGTGGTCATATCCATGTCCTGGGATGGGCCTAGCACCGGGTAGTTTTTCATGAACGCAACATTGTAGCTGTAGATAAGTCAAGAGTATAGCTGTTAGTTTTCCTCTCCTGGTCCATGGCCTAGAACTCCTGTAGGCCGTGTACAATGAGGTCTCCAGCCACTGGAGGGCACCATTACCACTCATCTGACACCACATTTCCATAGAAATGGCCAAACAAGGTCCTGGGGCTTTTCACAGAAAGTTGAAAAGCTCACCCTTGGATGGTATCCCCCAGCCCAATAGAAAATACACGGGGACAAAAACAAAACAAAAACCCAATTGTTAAAATACTGGCTTCGGTTTCTTTTCTTCCTTTCAAATTTCCTGCAACTGCTTCACATATTTAATTCCGTGCATTACCTACTTTTCTATAGCTGTGAACCAATGCAAAGTCAACTCTTCTTAGTCCTCACATGCCCAGTCCCGGCTGGCCCTCTGGCATCTTCCCCTTCTCACAGAGGAAAGTAAGTCATCTTCCCTCATTGACACAGGCTACAAATGAGGGGCCAATTTTCCACCGAAAGCCCCGGCGCCGGAAAGGGAGAAATGGGGCAAAGGACTGCCTTCTTCCCTCACGGCCGAGCAGGTGGACTCTGTACGTCCGAGGCGCTGATGCAGTACACGTGATAAATGGGAGTGAGCACATCAGGCAACAGAGGGATGCAGGCGGCGCTGCCTGCACACGGTCTCATAGGAGAGCACTGGTGCGGGCGGAAGAAAGGGAGGCAGGTCTCCACAAGCCTGTTGGTGGTCTTGCTTCCCCTCAACTACGCAACAGCAGAGCATCCGCTGAGCACCCCCACGGACCCCGACACGGATCGGCACCCACCTGGCCTCCCGGGGAGTCTGTTCAGCCTCAGAACAATCATCTCTCTGGTCAGGCTTAGCTCCAGAATCCCTGGTGGCTTTTGCCAAACTGGGAATTCCCTGGGGAGTCAAGATGCAAGTTCAAGAGGAAAGGAGATGGCGCTCTTAACCGGCAAAACAGAGAAGCGCCGGGGCATGAGCACGCCTCCCATGGAGTGCGCAAAAGGCAACACTTGTGACCCACGACGGCGTGCCAGGGGAGCCAAGCACGTTGCCCCACAGTGTGAAGGAACAGGGTGACACTGGCTCTGCTGGGCTTCAGTGGGCATTCGAATGAAAAGCCACCATAGCAATGAACAACCAAATCGCCTGAAACCACAAACAAGATCTAAGAAAGGGGAAGGCAAAGACCCACACAGCCATGTGATGACTTCCCGCTGAGACTAGGTCCTCTGAATGGGTCACAAAAGGGCTGTGTCTGGACCTCTCCGGGGCAGATATTCTCATGGCAGTAAGACCCACGCAGACAGAAATGGTGAATAAGAAAGACACCGTCCTCTTTGAGGAAAATCTACCCGGAGGGAAGAAGAAAAACCTAGTCTTCATACCTCCAGCGTGGCAGTTATACCTCCCCTGGTCTCCAAGGTCAGGCTCTGGAAACTACCCCATCCCACCACTGACCCCTGCGGGAGCTTAGCGGTCAGCCCGCCCCGTGCCCTCCAGGTATGTGGTGTCCTGTGGGTAGCTGCTTGGGCCCCTTGTGGTCAGCTCAGCACTGTCCCCTTTTCAGGCTCCCTGGCCACTTTCCCTTAAGAGTTTGGCAAAGCACCTTAAAATAGAAGCCCACCCACTCACAGTTATCAGTTAGAGACATCTGGTGCAGAACAGATCAAGCCAACAACTAGCCTTTTGTCCTTCCTTCCCTAATCACTGGCTCTGATCAATCTGAAAGTCAGTAGCTGCTAAAAGCAGTGTGTTGCCCACTTTAGCTGGCAAAGTGTGTGCTGTTTGGAGCTTCTGACTTATTCTCCAACAAAGTGGGTTTTTTGTTTTTGTGGGGGTTTTTTTGGCAAGCTTGGGATGAAGCCTATTCTTTGCCTCCCTGACAGGCTGGTCAGGCACCATCTACTCCTAATGGGGTTATGCAGGATTTCTGTTGTACGTACACAGTTCTTTGAAGCAAAATTCAATGCTTTCATCTTGACTACTACAAAGTGGTTCCAACCACTCCAGCTGAGGGAGAAGATAAGATACAAATTGGGCCCACACTACACATAATTTTCGAGTCTCGTTAAGAAAGTAGAAAACGTTTGGGTGTGTTCTGATCCGTGGGTAGCATTTTCAAGTACGCGAAAACAATAAGTCTTGGAAGAGATTCCTTTGCGCCATAAAGTTCATCCCTCCTTTTGCCATCGGTGGTACCTTAAAGAGAAATTCGTCCGTCACGTTATGGAATCCAAAAAGGGTAAACCAAAGGGATTTAAAAAGAGTCCATTACAAAGAATAAGAACCCCTGTCACATCTATATGAGAATACTATATAAATCAGTGAGTAGACATGGCACCTGGAGCTACTCACTACATTACCGGAAACAGAAACAAGGAGCCTAATTCTGCAGGATAAGGACATCTGCTCCAAAACAGCTAACCAACCAGGACTGCCACTGAGAGGCAGTCTGTCTCTGTGACTGATTGGGGACTTTGAACACTTCTCAAGTTTGACAGTTTTCGGGCAAGAGCACTCCAGAGGTTGGGTGCCGTCTGCTGAGCGATCGCAGAGCAAGAGGCAGGAAGGGAGAGTCTCAGCTCCTCTGTGGCTGAGGTCCGCTGGGCTCCCCTTAGTCTATGGCTCCTGGGTGGATACTGAGCACAGGGGGCTCCAGGCAAGTGGGGGAGTAGTTGAGGTGTGGCTCTTTGATCCACAACAGGGGCACCCCATTCTTCCCATCCGAGTTCTTGCTGGAGTTCCGGCTCTTGAAGCGCACCAATAGGATGGTGATGATGAGGATGCCGAAGATGGGGAAAGGGTAGAAGAAGACGAAGTAGAAGAGCGCGTCATTGGAGCAGATGATGGACTGCAGGGTGGAACCTGGAACAGAGGCAAGACCGTGAGGGCTGGGAGCCTGGACCGCCGGCCCTTGTTCCCGAAGCCCTCGCCCAGCCCAACCCAACTCCCGCCCCCACCCTGTCTTTCCCTGGCTGCTGCTAAGGGAGGGGAGACCACCCCCCTAGCCCTGTTCACACAGCAGCGCCTCTTCTGATTCCCAGCTGAAGTTCATTCAAAGCAATGCCTCCGTCTCCCGCGGGGAGCCAGTACTGTGCTTGGAGAGCCATAGAATCAAATACAGTTTATTGATTGTGAACCCAACTGCATCTAGATGGTGGAGCAGCTGACCACCCCAGTCCGCACTGCCTGCCCGGTGATACTTCACATGTCCCAATGCACTCAGTTCTGCTCCAAACGTCCTTCTTTGGGACGGGACCCGTTCTCTCCCCCCGCCAGCTTCTGAGAGCAGTTTTACCAGAAATGATGCTTACTTGCTTAACATTATCAATTGAAATGCCATTATGGACCATTTACAAATGTCCACAGTGAATTCAGTGCTAGTTATTCCTGGATATGGAAGGGAATGAAACCCGCTCCCCCCACACCCCAGACCCAGTCGAGGTCTGCTCTGGCGTAGGAGACCTCAGCAGGAGACCTTCCATTTTCTCTGGAAAATAAGGCTGCTGGATGACCTCTATGTACTACGAAACTTAAATAGGGACATCCACAGTGGGCAGATAAAATGTGGTCTAAACACCTTCGCTTGTACTTTTGGGTTATTCAGTAGATTGTTAGGGTGTCTGAGTATGATTTAGGCTTTTCTCTGCTTTCATTTCTACTGCATAGCTGTTGCTCAGTATTATTAAGAATATTCAACATGCACTTACACTTATTAGATTTCCAAAGTATATGAAATTGCTCACAGTCACCCACTTTTGACCTACAAAACTTCAATTTCATATGGTTCCATCTCCTAAACAGGAGGTAGTCAAAGAAAAGAAAAAGCTGACAAAACGAGAAACCTCATATCAATTTACCCGGTAAAACGTTTTGGCTGAAACGGAAAAGAGGTTACAGTTTCCAGCAGATTTTTTATTTCTGCATTGCAGGCCAAGTTTACGGTGACAAACGCCATCTTCAGTCTGCTCTATGCCACACTTCGACAGAAGGGCAACTTAAAAGAGTGCCTTGTGAGAAAAAATCATTTAGGTCAGCAATTATTTCTTCCAGTCTCTGGCCATGGAGTCCCTTGATGTGATGAGAATTCTGAGCTCTGGACCTTTCTGGAGTAGCCACTGATGGTGAGCAGGGCCCTGCAGTATCCCTGGTCATCCCAGCCAATCATGCAGAATCCAGCTCAACCTCCAAGTCACCCTCCAAAATACACACGAGCCAGGAACTTGAGAAAAACAGAGCAGCGACGCACTCGGGCTTCATTTTTTGTCCTCCTTCTGAGTCTGAAACACGCTAACTGGCTAAAGTAGGACTAGGCTGGATATTCTAAAGAGTGACACCGTAACATCTCACAAGATACTTGGATAACGAAATCTTACTAAAATAGAATCTGGTGGAACATCGAGTTGATTAGGAAGATTACTGGATGGTATGTTCTCACTTGAACTCCTAACCTCAATTGAGGGTCAACTATACGAACTGGCATGGCAAAGTCGAAATGCCTATGACAAGTGGGAAAACTGCTTATTAACCCATAATCGAGCTCTGATTTTATTCTTCCAGACCGCTGGAACCAACGATTGGAACCAACAGAGACATCCTTCCCCTGCAACTTGGGCAAACTCACTTGTGTCCAGAACCCGGATGCCGATGGGGGCCGACTCCTCTTCCGTCAGCCGGTACCATTCCTTCTGAGGGCTGGGCAGCCACTCCTCCACTCGGCAGGAGTAGTTCCCCGTGTCCTGGGGGCTTGCCTGCAGCACCGTGAGCCGATAGAGCAACGGGGAGAGCCTCTGGAAGCGAAGCCTGCCCTCCCAGGGGCTGCCTTCTGGGCCAAAGACGGCATCTGGGCCCACGCTCAGCAGGGCCATCCGCTCCATTGGGTCCTCCTCCTCCTCCTCCTCCTCCTCGTCCCCTTCCTCCTCCTGTTCGCCCAGGCCAGGGCCGTCCCTTTCCCCTCCAGCTTTAGTCCTCAGGGAGTACCAGGCCACGGCAAAGCGGGAGTCCTGACTTGACCGAGAAACAATGCTGCAGTCCAGCTGGAAAGCTGCCTTCTCGGACACTGTGGCATTGGGGACCACCATGTCCACCTGCAGGGCAGCATCTGGGGGAGGCGAGGGGCAAAAAAGGAAAAAAGAGGCTGTTTTAACTTCTTTGCTCACAACAACCTGCATGTCCGTCACCAGATACACTCTAGTAACATAGTAATCTACAACACACACCTATTGAAAGGAGCAAAATGGAATGAGAGTCTCTAGAAAGATCGCTAGGCTATAGAACACTGGGTACCCTACAAGTCACTGTGTGCAGAAGAAACTGTGTTTTATTCCGACACACGTATCTGTTTCTATTGGCATCGAATATCTGCAGAAGAATTCACAAGAAGCTGGTAGTATGGCTGCTTATGGGAATCTGGGAAGGAAGGGACACTTCTTTTCACGGTAACCTCTTGCAGGGGCTGAAGGGTCCCCCTAAAAATTCATGTCTATCTGGACCCTCAGAATGTGACCTTGATTGGAAATAGGGTCTTTGCAGCTGTAACGAACTCACCCTGGATTTAGGGTGGGCCCTAATCCAATGACTGGTGTCCTGATAAGAAGACAAGGGGACACACAGAAAGGACATAGAGGCAGAGATTGAAGCAATGCAGCCACAAGCCAGGGGACACTTGGGGCCACGAGACGCTGGAAGAGCCAAGGAAGGATTCTTCCCTAGAAGCTTCAGGGGGAGCCTGGCTCTGCTGACAACTTGCTTCTAGACTTCTAGCCTCCAGAACTGTCAGAGAATAAACCGTTGTTGTTTTAAGCTATGAAGTTGGTACTAATTTGTTGTGGCAGCCCTGGGAAGAATTTCACCCCTCGGCCTCTGAGTTCAAACTGTGTGCATGCGGACCATTATCTATGCCACAGTGAACCCGAGGAGGTAAGTAATCTCCAAGGACTCAAGCCCGAGACCTGAAAGGGCCCCTCGCCCTGAGCACAGAGCCCCCAGAAGGATGACATGGACAGCATCCTCCCGACAGAGACGGGAGACACAAAACGGCCAGGGAAAGGTACCAAGCAGGGGAGTCACACTTCAGACAGCACCAGGCAGCCATAATCTGTTTCTTGATTTTGCTGTGCACCCCCCCTTTTTTTTTCTGGCTCAACAGGGTAGGTACTAAACAAATAATCCATTCCCTACCTCCTAAATGGCCTGTTTGGCTCTGTTTATGAAATGCTCATAAAAGATGCCAACATAATGGTAACAAAAGTACAGATACCAAATCAGATTCTGCTTGGATGAAGACCAAATAGGAGCATTTCCCAAGTACTGTCCTGGGCTTTCAATGAATTGGCTTAATGTTGCTCAAAGGTGAACACAAAGCTGGGGGTTCCCCCACCTTTGTGGGGCTCTACCAAGCCCCTCCACACCCGCCATGGCCCATCTAGAATCTTGGTTTGCATCGCTGGCACAGAAAGCCTCGGGAACCGGCTACAGGTGGCAGGAACAGCACCTCAGCCCAGCTCCCATGAGGGAGAACACGCTGGAGGGCAAGGTGGCAGGGCGCAGAATATCCGTTCATAGGCGACTCAAGCTCCTTGGCTCATCAGCTGATCCTTCCAGAGAGCATGGCTAACTGTAACCCCAGAGCCATCAGAGAGAAATACTGCAGATCAAGGAGCAGTCTAGGGCACCTTTGCTCTGCACAGTCTACCACAGTGGTATCCTAAAGCTCCTGGTGGCTGGCCAATGAGACGCAATACACCCAAAATGGCAAGACGATCAGAGACCACTGGACATTTAGTTCCTCGGAAGGGCCTCTTCCCCATCTACTCTCCCTTTGTTTTCTTCTTGTCTGAATACTTACAATCTAAAGATTTATTTATTTTAGAGAGAGAGAGAGCGCGCACAAGCGGGAGGGGCAGAGGGAGAGGGAGAATCTCCAGCAGACTCTGCACTGAGCGTGGAGCCCGATGCAGGGCTTGATCTCACAACCCTGAGCTGAAACCAAGAGTCGGTGCTTAATTGACGGCACCACCCAGGTGCCCCTGAATGCTTGCTATTTAAGCATTTGAGTTTTAATTTAAATTTCCTGGCTCCTTCCAGTGCCTCGTCTGCAGTAATGACTCAATGCAAGTTTTCTGAATGAAACTAATGTCCGCCTGTCCATGCCCCCCCCCCGCTTTAACATATCTCTGTACTAATTTGGTTGCCCGTGTCTGTCCCCTTCTAGAATAGGCCAAACCACCTCCCTGTGCAGACTTTAGCACTCTTTCCTGTTTCAGGTATAAGTCCCAAGAAAGTCCGCTTCTGCCTCCTCTCTGTATGTTAGGCAGGAATGCCGCCGGTGCTCCCTAAATGTCTGCCAACCCACCCACCCCCGCCCCAGTCTCCCTGCAGCCCTAGTGTGGGGACGCGCACATGGGTGGGTGTTGGGGGAGAAGAGTGCTCAGCTGCCACCTCTCTACAATTTCACCTTTGGGAGAAGACACGCAGCAGTTTTTAGGCACGGTAAAAAGAAAAAAAACAAAAGCTCATGGGAACTATGAGTAACTCAAAGCAGAGGTGATTTCCCATCCAGTGTAGGGAAGACACAGAGCAGCGAGATAATGCCCCTTTCCCGGAACAAAGGGCGTATTCACTCCTGAAGTGTGTTCCGTGACACATGGGGCAGGCACAGCTGCGAGGCTCCACCCACGAAAAGAGCCGCTCTCGTGCGACATGCAAACATGACGGACGCTTCCAAAAGACCACTGATCGGAAGGCTGGGATGCGCGGGAAACGAACAAGACAAAGCGCTCACACCGACGCAGGCCACCAGTTCATTTCTGCTCCATGTCCTCCGGGGGACCACTGACTTTTTGCTGGGACTAGGATGGACGACGATGTGATGTCGCAGGGGACCCAGGAATCCGGCTTACCTCTGCTTTCATTACGGGTTGAAATGGGTAACCATAACTCTACCGAGTAATTATGTGCATTTAGCAACTTTAGAAACGACAACAAAGACAAGAAAGGCCACACAGAGCAGTCACTGGTACCAACAAAATTATTAGGAAATGAGATTGAATTTCATCTCTTCCTATTTTAAAGCATGCTATTTCTATTTAAAGCATGTGAATCAATTCTTTTCCACTGTAAATCCACAGGCTTAATTTTTTTTAAACCACATGGCTACTGTTTCAAGATTTTTGCACATCCACCACCTTCTGAGTCTGAATGTACTCTTAAAAAGAAAATACTCTATGTTCTGCAACAATTAATCGAAAAATGCTACTGTGGTTAAGAAATAGAATCACTTTAGGCCAAAGCCAGATGTGCCATTTTCCTTTCACGAGGGGAAAAAAAATGTGAGACAAATCTGAATGCAAATGCAAAATGTAAATGTTCATAAGTTTAACTGCAAACAATGTATTAATACACTCATTTTGTGCAGCGCATAAAGTATGACACTTGGAGGGGAAATACGCAGAGCAGTGACAGCCTGGGGACATTAACCCTCACCTGGCCGCATGATGGTCACAGCCATCTGCCCAGCAGTGTCCTCTGCCCGCTTATACCACACGCCGCTGGGGCTGGGCAGCCACTCCTCCACGCGGCAGCTGTAGGTCCCGCTGTCCTGCACTGCCACGTTCTGGATGAAGAGCCGGTACACACCGGGGGAAGGGCTCTCCAAATGCAGCCGCCCCTTCAGGTTGTTTTTGGCCGCCTGTTCCCCGTAGTGGAAGGTAGCCTCGCGGCTCAGGCGGGCCACGGTCTCCCGTTCCGGGTGGTTGGGCTTCCACACAAACCACTCCACCACCAGCTGGGAGGCCGCGCTGGTGCGATTCAGCACCACACACTCCAGCTGCACCTGCTGTGTCTCCAGGACCGACAGATTCCCCTGCGCTTGGCTGAGCCTCAGGCGGCTATCTAGAAAGGCGAGGAAAGACATATTAGCCTCACGGAATGACAGACCACCCACATGCACCCTTTCCACGTACATTCTGAGTCCCCTGATCACGCGTCTGAGTGCATGGATTGTAAGCAGTTCATGGTAACAGCGGTCCCCCCATTTCTATCTCATCGGTTCAGAGCATAGGAGGGAACAAGCATGAGGTACAGAGGACTCCACATCCAAATGAGAGCAGCCCATGAGCCTATGGTTGACCAGAAGGGCCGGCTGGGAAGGGCCAGGCAGAAAAGGACAAGGTGAGACCCCCTTTCGAACCAAGAGCGAATTTTGAAAACTGACCACATGATGACTAGAATATGTTGGACTGTCCACCACAAAAAGAACTGCAGATGAGACAGTTAAATATGTTCCCGAGTTGGCCTTACGAATTGCAGTTCTTACTTTCTCGGGTTCCCTCTCAAGGTGGGAACAGAACAGATCTAACCTTAGTAAAGAGAAGCCTGGTATTGATAGAACCTGTGACTTGAAAACTCAGCCAATCAGATTCTCCTCCAGAGAAAAAAGTGTCCCTAATGATGGTATGCCCTGACGACATGCGTGTAATTTCATAAAAGGTCCTGATGAGCCTATCTGGACCGGGGGGGGGGGCCTCAAAAACCCACAAAACTGTAAAAGCATACAAGCACCTGGCGAAGGACACTTCCTGAGTGATACCCGAGGAGGGGGGAGGGCCATGCACAGAGCACTTTTTACTTTTTTTTACACTTCAAAACTGTCGGAATGTTTTACCATGCAATGCAGTAACTCCTGTAATTAAAAGGTCAAAAAATTAAAATAACAGAAAAAACGGGTGCCTGGGTGACTCATTCGGTAAAGTGGCCATTCTTGGTTTTGGCTCAGGTCACGATCTCAGGGTCATGAGACCGAGCCCCGAGTTGGGCTCCACATTCAGCGCAGTCTGCTTGAGATTCTCTCTCTCCCTCTGGCCCTCCCCTCGCTCACCCTCTCTCTCTAATAAATAAAATCTTTAAAAACATTTTTAAATAACCAGTCTCCCGAAAATATGCATATACATATATGCGCATGTGCGTGTGCATGTGTGAAGATATTAACTCTGGTTGTCTTTGGGTTGAAAGATTATTTTCTTCTCTTTTTGTGTGTTTTCCAAAAGCTCTATAAGCATATTCTTTCTCATCGGGAAAAGAAGGAGAGGGGTGGTGCGTAGAGAAAAAGAACTAGAAGCAGGGGAAGAAAAAAACAACAAAACGAAAAAAATCACTGAAAAGGAGGGATGTGTTGTTTTAATCAATGTCCTGTGAGTTTTTCTGTTTATAGTGTTAGTATTCCCACAAACAGAGATCTCACTAAATGTGTTTTGACAAACATCCGTGCAGCCCTGTGTGTTGGCCCAGTTAGCTCGCTGTAAGTCTGTAGTCTCAGATGGGGAAATTCCCTTGATAAATTTAGGATCCACTGAGAATCTCTTAGTTTCTGCACAAATGAACAAAGGCAAAGGATGAATGGCGACTAAGGGGGAACTCGAGGTGGGTGGGGGATCATGTCCTCCCAGCAGAGAAAGTCACCAAAACTGAAAACATACAGGAAGGACAGAAACCTAAAAGAACATCTGTGGGCCAAATGACAACTGTCAGTTTTCAAAAGCCCCAAGGACTGGCTTGAGGTCTCTGGAAAAACCAAGAGCGATAATGCAGACCAGAGCTTCCTGGGCAATGCACCCGCAGAACGGTTCACATAAGTGTCACCGAGGTGCTGAGAAGCCTGCATTGGGGCAATCTTAGCAATACAACAAAGCACCCCCATCCCATCAGGAAGGACAGGATAGCACAATAGATTGTAGGCCATGTAGGAATGAGGGATGGAGAGGGAGCTAAAGGCCACATCGTGTGGGGAGTTCAAAGAACTAGAGCTCTTTAACAAGGAGAAGGGGAGACTGACAGGGGCCCCCTTCACGCATGAAAAAATATGACCCAAACTTATTCTGGGTTGTTCCAGGGGCAGATCTAAAACCTGGAGGGGAATTACGTGGAGGAGGGTTTTTCAACGAGTAGGGCTGCCCTGCAGTGGATGGAACGGAGTCCTGCGGAGGTAGGAAGCGTGCTCAGAGAGGTCAGGTGCCACCCCTGGTCTGTCGGGAAGCAGAATGAGGCCTGCACCCACAGGCTCTGAGACAGGGCCGAGGGGTGGTCCGCTCTGGAGATAGGAAGGGCTCCCCGCCTGCCCGGGGGTGCTGAAATGGGTGGTAAGGAAGAAAGGCGAGCAGACGAGGGAGACCAGAAAGTGCCTTCCAGGCGAGAATGCTGGGTATGGAGCCGGCACCAGCCCGAGATCCAGGGTGCAACCTGCAAACCCAAGAAGAGATGCAGGAGCCCCCAGGGACCCTGCCTCGCGGCCTCTTGCCCAGCACAGCCACCCCTGGGGCACCACCTGGTGAGGAAGATGCTGTCCCTAACAGCAGAGCGGAGGGTGCTTTCCTGAGTTGGCCCTACAGCACCAGGACGCGCCCGAGGCAAAGCCAGCAGTCCACACAGCACTAGGGTGAGGGTCTGCACGCCTGCACCCACCCCCAGCGTGGGCCCCACAGAGCCCTGCCGCCCTCCGCCCGGGCAGTCTGTCTGCACGAAAGCCGCTAGCCCAGGACGGCTGCACCCTGGGTCCTTACCTGGCTGCTTCACGGTGACTTCCGTGCGCCCCGAAACCTCCTCGGCCAGCTTGTACCAGGCGTAGTTGGGGCTCAGCAACCACTCCTCCACGTGGCAGTAGTAGCTGCCGCTGTCGCTGACCTCGGCCCTCTGCACCGTGAGGCTGAACAAGCCCCCGGACACGTGCCTCTCGAACTGGAGCCTGGCTCGCAGGCCCTCCTCCTCGGCGTAGGTGCCGTACTCAAAGGCCGAGCTGTGGGTGGTCTTCAGGATGAGCTTGCCGTCGGCATCCGAGGGCTTGTGGACGTACCACAGCACGGCGAAGTGCGAGTTCTGGCTGGTCTGAGACTTGACGGAGCAGCTCAGCTGGATGGGCCTGTTTTCCACCAGGGTGAGGGTCCTCTTCGACTTGCTCACCTGCAACTTGGTCACTGCAGAGGAAAGGGGGTGGGGCAGTTCAGCAGCGGAGCCCCACACAGCTCCCGGGGGACTGAATGCGGCCAGGCTTCCCCCAAAGCGGGGCTCAGCATGAGGGAGGCGGCACGGAGCCGGCTTCACCCCAACATCCCTCCACCTGCCTCCTCCCTGCCTCCCCTCCTATCACGCAGCCTCCAGAGGACTCCGCGAAAACTCAGATCTGCCCAATCACTTCCCTGCTTAGAAAGTTTAATGGCTCCCACCCAACTGCTTATAGCTTATAAGGAAAAAATAATTCCTTTTCACAGTACAAAGTCCCCCAGGATCTGGCTCTCGCCCAACTGTCCTGGCTCATCTCCACGACTCACCCTCCAGCCCCCCCATCTCGCCCCCAGTCCCCCTGCACCTCCTCCCTGAGTTCTGGTTTCTGCTCAGCTGACCTCTCTGCCTGTCTCCTTCCACCATCTCCCCTCTGGCCCTTCTGCGCACTCGTCTTTCCACCCCCTTCTTCCTTCCCACCCTGGGCCGGCAGCCCCTCTCACTGCTAGCACCAGCACCCTCTACATATCTTCCGACTCTTTTTCCTTAGTCTCTCTTCCACCCTAGTCTGTGAGCGCCTTGAGGGCAGAGATCAACCTTTTTTCTGGAAGTCTGCAAATATTTCGAGTGTGCCCCTCCTGATGCTAAGTGCCGGGGATACCCCAAAGAACACCACCATCGTGCCTAGTGGACATTCTCATCGCGGCACCCCCCAGAGCCTGGCACAGTGCCTGGGCTTCAGAAAGTACTCGAATATCTGCTGGGATATGTGGGGGAAAGCGTGCCAGAGAAATAATGATAGCAGGTATTGAAAGGATTGCTAGGGGTGATCTTCCTGGGGCAGAGAGAGGGAGGAGGCTGAGAGGAAAGTGGCAAGCAATGGGACAGAACAGAGTTAACTCCAGTGTCCTTCCCCTTGCCGCCCTGCTCCAAAACCAGAGGGAGGACAGACTCCAGAGTGCCACCCTACCTGTTAATCAACGACTGGGCTCACCTTTAAGGTGGCAAGAAGCCAAGGTCTAAGGAAATATATCTTGGGAGGGTAACCTGGGATCATACCCACTCCATCCTTATTATACCTGGCTGTGCTTCTCCCCTACCCACTATTGTCCCTCTACTGAAAAAGTTTTTTAAAGAAGGAAAAAGACGCAGCTCCAAGTTCCTCCTAGGGAGCAAACAGTGAAAGCAGCTTTTCACACCCCAACTGAAATTTCTGAAAGCCCCAGACAGTCATTTGGACACCTTGGTCACACACACATAAACATTCTGGATGATAGAGAGGATTCAGCAAGCCAAGGGATGGCGGGATCTGATACCCAATGCCATTACTGCAAAAGCAACTCTAAGAACAAGTAACTCAGTGGTGAATCAGGAGACACTCCTCACAAATGACTGCTGAATTCACATTCCCACAGACCTTCCCCAGCCATCAAGAACACACCAATATGAGGGGCGCCTGGGTGGCTCAGTGGGTCGAGCGTCTGACTCTTGATTTTGGCTCAGGTCATGATCTCAGGGTCATGAGATCAAGCCCAGTGAAGGGCTCCTCACTGGGCTTGGAGTCTGCTTAAAATTCTCTCTCTTCCTCTCCCTCTGCCCCTCTTTCCCCCACCCGCTCTTCCCCTCTCTGTAAAAAAAAAAACAAACACACCAACATGAGAGAGAAATCCTACCTCCCACGCCCCACCCTTCTTTTCATCTTGTGAACAAGCCCAGTCCCCTGCCTTCTCCCTTCTTCAAACAGACAAAGTCCTCCAGGGCACACGGGAATCCAGGGCAGGGTTTACCAGTAAGCTTCCCAGCTCTGCAAACTAGATGCACTTAGCTTGCCAGTCGACTTTTCAGATCTGATTCCTACAATACTTGAAACAACCAGCTCCCTTTTCATTCCCTTCCAACCCAATTCACCACATGCAAATGATATCTATATCAGCACAAATGATACCACCTGAATTATCTGGTTCTTGTCCAAAAAACTGGGTTGTTCAGTGTGGAGTAGAAAGAGCTTTAAAATGTATTATTAATTGGGGCTGGATTATTTTTGCAACTGTTACTAAGGAAACCTCAATTGCTATAGTAACTGCATATGTTAAACTGAAATCCTATGACTAAGCCTCAATTCAGTCACGTGGTCTGAGAACAAGAATCCAAAGAAGAAAGATGTTTTAAAGCATTTCCATTTTTTCTTTCCTTCCCATGTCAAAATATTGTGAAGTGTTGAAAAGCTTGAAAGAGAGGCAGTTTTGAAATTTGGTGCCTGCCTGACAGGTGGGCAAGGGGTCAGCTCCTATTCTGCGCTTGGAATTTCCTCCCCCATATCAAGGGCAGGGAGGGCCTTGCCTGAAGCCCAGGAGAGCTGGCAGCCCCCATGCCTAATTAGGAAGATCTCACGAGTCCTGACCAGTACTGCCCTGGGCCTTGTGAAGCCTGCTTGCACCATCCTCCTCCGTAGAGGCTAAGGTGGGTGAGGGGGGGGGCGTGGGTGGGAGACGACGACAAACAGGACACAGCCCACTTTAGGCCTGGAGGAATTTTCATCTACATGATGACAACACCTCACAGCAGTGTTGTGGCGGCTAAACGCAATAGTCTATAGAAAGAGTTTAGCACAGAGCCTGGTATAACATAAACGTGCAATACATTTTTACTATTTCCATTTCATTTTGGTCTCTGGGTTCGGGGCCACATGCAAAGCACACCATGAGATCCAGAACTGTCAAACTAAGTGACCAACTTACTACTAAACGTGCAGCCCCTGGCCCAGGCCCGGTGTCACCTGGGAACCCGTTAGAAAGGCAGACTCCCGGACCCACCCCCCACCCACTGACTCAGAATCTGCCTCTAACAACAAGATCCCTGGGTGATTCCTGTGCACCTTAGAGCCTGAGAATCCCTGGACAGGGCCCCTGTGAAGGAATGGATTTAGGGAGGGCAACCGCACACAGGTCATAGGAAAGCCAGGGACGGAGGCTGGGTTAATCCCCAACAGTGAGTCAGCGGGAGGAAGGGGCAGGAAGAGAGGCTGCCGGGCAAGGCCCCACCTGCTAGCGCAGGCTCAGGCTCAGGCTCAGGCTCAGGCTCACGCCGGTGCTGCCTCCAGGGGGCGCCTCAGGCTCCTGGAGCCAGGCTGTGCCCGGTTTGAGGGACGGGCCCTTTCTTTCTGCATCTGGAGAGTTCCCTTCCTAGGCCTCTCATCGGGCGGGATCATGGGTGTGGCATTCTGGGAGAGGCTGCTGCATTACAGCGAAGACAGCGCATAGCAGGTGGTGAGAGGCATCTGGGGGGACTCGGCAGCAGGGGGGAGCAGTGGCTTCACTGGCCAACTCCCCCGATCCTGCAGACCCTGCTTTGTGCGCACCGCCCACCCCCAGAACTCCTTTCTTCCATCAGTAACGATTCTCTTATACCCTGCAAGAGCTCTTACAGGCCGCCTCACGTTGAGGTTCATTTTTTTTTTATTTTTTTATTTTTTTAAAGATTTTATTTAT